CCCCAAAACCCCAAAACCCCATGATGAAATTTTAATAAATCTGACTAAAATATCTTTGCTACTATAATTCAAATATTTATATATTAAATAGGAATGAACATAGAGTATTCAAACACAGAAGGTCAATACTTGGTATTATTAAATCATTAATGCTTAATTCAAAGGTTGACGTTTCAACAGATACCTTTATGACGAAAAGGAACTAAGTTTAATACTCATTTAAGGAATAAGCAGCTATCAAGGATCAATATATATTTGAATCCCCTTATTAGCATGACTTCCTAGGATTGGGTGGAAATTCAGATTAGTTTTTTAGACAAATCTCTTATCCTGTTAAGCTTGACGGTATGCTATTGATTCCAAATTAAATTTAATTTTGTTGTAGATCTCTACCGTGTAAAGCAAACTTCAATTACTGTTGATAATTATAATCATGCCCCAGTCATTGTTGAAATTATAGATGACGAGCTTAAACAGCATTTAAATGCTAAGTTTTTATTGTAATGCTGGCTGAAAGGCGGTACTAAGCAATATGAAAGAAAACTATAATGTAAAAATAATTTTTTGTAAAACTAATAACTTAAATAGATGATATACTAGCTTGGAAAAGTTAGCATGGAGAATTCATATGCAAGCTTGATAGCAGAGAAGAATAAACAAAGTATATCTACTATCAGCATTTTGAAGGTGAAAATTCAATGCTTAAAATAGTTGACATTTTTGAAGATTCTTGTAAAAATCCATTCTCTTACAAAATTTTAAAACCTCATTTTAGATTTGCATTTTCATATATGTAAGAACTTTGTCTTTATTGCAAATCAAAATACTATCAAAATCATTGATATTGTGAGCAAACCTTCAAATAAAGAGGTTAGAGAATACTTACCAACTACAGATAAAATTGTAACAGTTTAGATCAAAACTTCTTTTAAAATGCTATCTTTTGATTTATCATACTAACACTTAGAATCATCTTGCGAAATACTTTGTATTTTTGAAAATGAAGAAAATTTAATGGTTGGAACATAGCTATTTTTTAAAGATAATATTGTAAGATTTGAGGAGCAGCATGAGATTATTCCAAGAGTTAATCATTATTATGATCCTATAATAAAATTTAAATATGTTCATGCCCTTGGTAACTACTTGTTTGCTGTAGCTCTTAGAAAATCATTATTAGTTGATATTTATTGGAACAACTCCCTAGTTGCCACTAGCTCAGAATAATTCTAGGATATAGATGTGACTTTTGAATTTATATAATTGTATTCACTTGCTGGAAGATTGAAAGTATTTCCTTTAAGTATTGGCAGTAAGATGAAGTTTGAAAGTATTCAAGATAAAGGACCAATCTCTTAACATGATTGGGATCGAATCTTCTACTCTAAACTTGCAGATTATTTCAAGTTCTATACATCTTATTGTCTTATTAACACCTCATTCTTTATAGCAAGAGAAAATATCATTTCAATTTATGATATCATTAAAAAGAAATGGATCAAACATTTTTATGAGGACGAAAATGTAGTTCAAGTCTTTAAGACTGAGAAATCAGATGGTGAGTATTAGTTGGGAATATTTCTAAATACAGGAAAAGTAAAGCTCATTGATACTCTTGATTCTACTGAGCCTATGCTCTGGGATATCTAATAAACTGATCACTTGATGAGTGGTACTACTATCTAGATCATGAATGATAATTAAAACTATAGATTTTTCCTCAAGCTAGCTAAGGATGATATAACTGGAAAGCCAGTTTTATTTTGCTTTTCTAGGAGTAAAGTATAAAACTTGACTGAATTTGTGGAGGACTTAAGATTAGACACGATCATAATTCCTCTTTATTATTAATACTATTGGAATGTCTTCATTCTCTTTAATAAATAAACAGGTCATTTGAGATATTACTATAGTAGCTTGTACATAGATGGTCAGGGATATAATGCCTATTAAGTTATATTGCTTAAGTTACATCATATTAATGATAGTTTAAATTTGATTGGCAAAAATTTATTTAGTATGACTACTGATATTGAAACAGAGCTTGTTATTATAGACGAAAAAGATATCAATCTTATTGATTTTTCCTCAAACCAATAAAAAATTATTGAAAATGTCCACATTAAAGGGTTTTAACTTATTGAAAATGACATCATATATGCTTTGGTAAAGAATCCAGAAAAAGTAGATGAAACCGGTTTTCATTTATTTGACCTAAAGTTAATATTAGAATAAAAGCAAGCTTAAAGCTTCTTCTTAGATAAATCTTTAGTTGGGGTTAATAATATCTTAGATTTCAGCCATGATAATTAAAGATTTTCTTACATGGAACACTTTGATTTAATTACAATCATACCTACTCTACATAGTAACATTATTAATTATATGGGCATGCTTAAAAGGGATAAATATTTAGCGGCAAAGAAAATAAACGATAGATTCATAGCATTAGATATCAGAAACAGATTAACAACTTGGGATGCTGTAACAGGAAAACTGATAAATGTTCATCAACGAGAGGAAGATTTTACAGACTTTGAAATATTCAAATCTACTATTAATGATACTACTTTCAAAATGGGTCATCAATACTCATAAGTTTTACTAATATCGAAAAATTCCTTGGAAAATATTAGAGATGAAGATTATTATGAAGATTATCAGATTAATTCAAAATTAGAAAATTGTACCACATTATTTAAAAGAATGAGCAAAACTTATAGGGAATTCAAGCTAATCGAGATAATAAGTCCTGAGGAAGTAAAGGTACACTTTACCTATATCCATCCATACTATGGAATTAATGTCTACTATAGAATATGCTTCAGTGAAGACTTAAATTTTATGTTCATTAGATTAATCAACCAAAAGAATTTTATCTACCAAAGAGAATCTAAAGTGTAAAGTGATTATATTACCTGGAAATTGTATAGTCGAATTTATTAGTTTGATTTTTAAATTTCAGACCTAGTCTTCACCAATTATATCACCTCACCAGACTTAAAATACTTTCTTGACTATGATAATATCAACAAAAAATATCTAATAAGAGATACCAAATCTTCAACTAAGATTTATGAAATTCCAAAAACTTTGATAAATGTCAATGAGAAAAATTATAAAAGCTTAGTAAAAGGGTTCAAATGGATAGATAGTGAAACAATAAGGTTTATTGACTAGGAGGGAATTGAGGCAATAATTGAACTAAATAACAACTTTAAAATAAGAAGTAGTTGCAAGCTTCCTCTTAATTAACTAATAGATTAGACGCAGCATTTTTATATTAGTAAGACTTAAAACATCTAAAAAGGAGAAACTCTCAAAAGATTGCAAATCAATTACTAAACTTTTTTCTAGCTATATAATCATGATAAAGTTAGAGATGATATAGAGTTTTATAATTGCTTGATAAAAACAGAATATTCTTTGAACTTATGCTCTGACCCCTACGTTATAGATTTGAGTTTCACTTATATGCATCTGAAAATGGCTGAGCAAATCAAAAATACAAAAGAAACAATAATGGACAATATATTCTACTTAACTCAAATGCCAAGCCTATGCTATAATATCTTTCCAAGAGGGAATACTCTTCTGCATTACGCTGTTGGTAAATTGGATATAATCGAAAAAATATACTAAATCTCTGAAAGGGAGAAAGATCCATTTGAAATACCTTTTATCAGAAATTTTGAAAAACAGACTCCTCTTCATTTGAGTATTTAAAGTGGGTAAAGTCAAGAATCAGACTATTATCTCATGAAATTGTCATAAGCTTCAATCGGTCATAGTTCTAGAGCAATTGTCAATATATTACCTCTAGCAATAGAAAGTGATCTTTAAAACGTAAATCTTTATTTCAATGCAAGATTTATGACTACTTAAAGACTAGATTAAGTAAAAAGAGGAAGCCTAATGCTAGATGATGAAGTAGAATTTGTAAAATGCTAGCAACCTATATTCTCCTAGGAAGACGATATAAAGAGAAAAATATTAAATAGGGGGAAAAATTAAGTTGATATTTAACTGCAGCTCTATGACATTCCTAAATTGCATTGCTACGACAATAAAAACTCTGAGGATTTCTTTGAAGCACTTTCAAGCTCTAAGATAGAGCTATTTGCAAACAAGGGTATTTAATTAATTATTGATTTCAAATGGCCTTTGATACAGAAGTTTACAATTTAATTCCTATTCTTGCCTTATATCCTCTATCTTGGCTTGTATTTTGGCTACTCTAACTTTATTTTTGTTGATAGATTTCATGATTAGGAAACAGAAAAAGAGAATTGGTACATCAGTGACAAAGCATTCTTTGCTATAGGCCCTCTTCTCATTTTGTTTTCCCTTTACTTTTTGATTCATGAAATTTACTAACTTTAAAGAACAGGTAAAAGGTATCTTACCTCTATTTGGAATTATAATGACTTGATCCCAACAATTTTAATTCCACTATTGGTATTGCAGGACTTCTTCCATGTCAAGTATAACTTTGTGCACACTTTCCATGCTTTCACATCTCTCTTTATGTGGTTCAAACTACTATACTTCCTGAGAATGTTTAAAGCAACTGGCTATCTTGTCAGAATGCTAATAGAGGTTATCTATGATATGAAAATATTCTTCTTAGTACTTCTCATTGTTTTCTTTGCATTAACAGACTCTTTTTTAAGTTTATCAAATGGTCAAGAAGATCTCGAGTTAAGATACGCTGGAGATAATTTTTTCTATGCATTTGTTTATGCTTTTAGAACTGGACTTGGAGATTTCAGTGTAGATAATTATAATGCCTCTATTTAATTTATGACTTCTTGGATAATATTTTTTCTATGTGTTATCCTCATTCTTATTGTGATGCTAAACTTGCTTATATCAATTATTTCCTAATCATTTGACAGAATTAATTCTTCTGCTGTTGAAGCTAGCTATCAAGAAAGAGCTAGGATTATTTCAGAAAATCTATATTTAATCCCAAAATCTGTATAAATAAAATATGCTCATAAGAGGCAATATATTGTAATTGCAAAGGAAGTTTAGAATGAAGAAATAAAAATGTTAGATGAGGGATTAAAACCATTTATGGAAATGTTTAAACTTATTAAATTGGCTATTGAGGAAAGCAAGAAAAAATGATAGATATAAAGATCAAGATTAATTGCCATCAGTTTTATAGAGATTTATCTTTAATTATTACATTACTATTTTTTATTTTAATTTATTTTTATCTTTATATGAAAATATTATACTTTACGGGGTTTTGGGGTTTTGGGG